TTCTGAGCTGGCAAGCAGCTGAGTGGTACCAAAATCATTCTGCTCTGTGGAGAACACTGGCAACTTGTTCACCATTAGCATGGAAACACCACTGAAACTTCCAAACTCTGCAAGGACAAGCTGTGAGCAATGATATTATTCCAGGTCTGCCCTCGAGGCTGCAAAGCTCAGAGTCTGCACAGATAAAAAAGCTGATTTTTGTTCCTACATAGAGACCTTGTGGAAATAAATTCCCAGCATTTTAAGGGTGCACAGCTGCTGCCAGGTGTTTGTAGGGAATCTGTTCTTATCTCAGTCCAGGGGTTGATATATTTCTGATTTTCATCCCCATCCCATCTCAGGGGGAAGGGGAGTGGGCAGGAGGCTCCATCTCTGGTTTGCAGCTGGGATTAAACCATTGCTGTGGCTCCAGGATCCCAGAGAAATTCCAAACACAAACTAAAGCAGCTGAGGGCTGGTATTTCCCTGCTTTCCTATTGCCAACAGAGCTTCTGGAACCATTTCCCATTTTGCATTAGGAAACTTTCTTTAGTTGAGTAAAGTTTTCAGTTCTTAATCCTTGGCTAAAAAAGACTCACCCCTTTCATTTTGCAGCTTTTCTCTGAGATAAACAGGCATTTCTAAATCTGTTGTTTTAGCTTGAAGTCAGTCGAAGGAAGCTGGATCTGCAAAAAGCTGAAACATTTGGTTATAAATTAGGATGTTTTAATCTTGCCTTAGATGTCTTACATTAAAATATTGATTACAATTATGTAGCAAGGGAATATCTCTGATAGGGCCACAGTTCTTTACTAGTTCTTTTTGCAGTATTAGGAATTTTAAAAATAAGAATATATCATGGTTTGAACAGCATTAATCTTTCTTGGTTATTTTAAATTTTACGTATAATATGCTTAATTATACAGAGAAAATTCCTGTGCATTCTGGTCCATTTTGTGTTTTGTTTGAGTAATTAGAGTATGAAGTGGAAATCTTTCACAATTTAATTTTAAAAAGTTTTTGTTTTCCTCTGTTTTCCTGTTGTGATGCTGGGTTGAAAGAGAACGCTCAATAGTGATGTAGTATTCTAGCAAAGCTCATTTTTCATGTTCATAAATTAGAATATTTAATGTCATTGTTATTCTAAAGGAGTAGTTCAACCTGTAGAACACAGGAGAGTTACATACAACAAATGAAGACTTCAGATAATGTGGGAAATCCTGACATTTTAATTTAGGACTACTTGGCTCTTCTTGCAGAGTCTTTTCTCACATCAGAAGGGGCAGTGAGGAAAGGGAGGTTTAGTAAGGAGTTATGGCAAAAATGGGAATTATTTCCTAATCTAATTTTAGAAGCTGGAGCACCTCTTTAAGTCATGCCCAGAATGTTACCTTTCTTCTAAAAACCTTTTATTAGTCAATCATTTCCCAGTGAAGCAATTCTGAAAATTCCCTTTGCAATCCAAACTCGGTATCAGGTCAATACTGGCTTTGGATTGGTGTTTTTAAGCCTTGGTAATGCAGCTGTACATTGACCTAGAAACCTATTTCTATCTGCTGGGTGTAACCACGACTCTTTAAACATCTGCCTAGGGGTTCCATTTGTGAGTAGCTGCTCACCATTGAAATGCTGTGGGTAAAGAATCCAAAGGCTCGGGAGAAATGTTTGAAAACAGTTTTGCAAGGGTCATGACTGAGGGAAGGTCCTGGCTCAGTCCCTTCCAAGCAGGTGATGGAACAGATTGCAGGGGACTTTGGGGAGCAGAAGGTCCTTGCTGGAGCTCCCCGTGGTAAATCTCAGCTCAAAGCCTCTCCCTCTTCCCTCTTCCAAAGGTTCTGGTGCCTTTTTGGGGTTACCTACAAACGGAGGGCAGACAGAATGAAGGCAATAAAAGCAGTTCTATTTATTGTTCTGTTTATTGAAGACCCTTCAGGTACATTTGGGGCAGACAAAGCCCCCCAGGGCTGCACCCAAAATGGACCCTGGGTCAGGGGTTTGCACACTTTGATAAGTTTGGTCCATTTGCACATTGGGGTTAATCTCCCAATTCCAGCTCCAGGTCATGAAGTCATTTACCCCGAGTTTGCTCCCCCCAATTCACTTTTGTTTCCATCTCTGGGCCCTGGGGCAGTGAGGGGTCCTTGATTGCCAGGCTGGAGAGGAATTGTTGTGTGTGAGCAGAATGGGAAAGCAGCAGCTGACACTGTGTGTGGAGTTTAGAGTTCTACACTAAAGAACTGCAGGATTGCAAATACACGAAAAATAGAAAAGCTGAAATGCTAAGGATCAATTCCATCCTCTGAGGAGCCACTGAAGCTGTTCCCAGAGAATCCTTCCAGAGTGACCCCATCGGGCTGTCCTTGTTTTCCAGGTGCCATGAACCGCAGAATTCAGCGAGAAATAAATTTAGCTCCAGCCCAGCAGGAAGTTTCAGAGGCAGCAGCTTCTGCAAGGGATTGTCAAGAACAATCTGCAAGGAGGCTGCTCCTGGCATATAGATTTGGAGCTGGAACAGTGCAGGGAAGGAAGTGCTCCGTGCCAGCTCTCAGCACCATATGCTTGCCCCTAATGTAATGCACAAAGAATATGGAGGCAGCAGCTGCTCTGCAGGGAGGTGGCCACTTGTTAGATTTTGAAACCTTTCCGAAGTGTCTGTTCCTTTTCTTTTCACGGGTATTTTTTTTCCCCTCCTTGCTTACGTATTTACATTCAAAAGATGTTCCCTGAAAGAAATCTATTTTTGGGCTGCAGTAGGGACAGGGGAGCGTGATCTACTTTCTGTTGAAATAAAGGTAATTTTGGAAGGACTCTGATATTTAGGCGTTTTTCTATTGAGAAATGTGGGCAGGTTTTTATTTTCTTGACATCAGGGCATGATGAAAACGTATCTCTAAATTAATTATTGTCTAGGATTGTCTGACTTTGATGGAAAACTTTGGCTTTCTTTGGGTTCCAGGAGTGTTCCACTGGCCTGATCACATTCCCATTTAATTCAATGACAATTTTCACTGAGTTTAGTGGCAAAGAGAAGCATAAATAAGGATTTAGATCTAAAATGAGTAGAGTTGGATTTAATATGCCCAGAGGAATGGATCTTCCCTAGCAGCCATCACTACCCAGGCACTGAAGTTGGTTCCTCTGTTGCTTTGAGAAACCTGAAGTTCCTGGCAGATTTCAGGAGCCCTGTGCCTGCAGTGCCAGGAAAACAAAGCTTATCTAAGGAAACAAAACTGGATTTTAAAAGGTATTTTTTTGACTCCTGAGATTTTCATGTCCACTGAATTCCAGATATGCCTCACTATGAGCACTTGCATTTTGAATTAGGGAATCCTAAGTGAATTTGAGAATCCAGAGGGAAGTTACATCACAATATAATGAGGTTATAGCAGGACAAGTTGTTATAGCAGGTAATAAAATTAATGTATCACACTGGCATTTTTTTCTGAATGTCATTGTTTTACAGTGACCCTGGAGTGATGTTAAAATGTCATAGCAACACCAGAGTGACCCATATTAGTCAGGAAAAATGATGGTTCACATAAAAGAAAGATGTTAGAATCCTTTTTGGAAGGATAAATCACTTTCAGACAGAGATTTTTGGGTTATTCTGTGTTGTTCATCATAGCTGCTTCTCTCTGAAAAAAAAAAAAAAAAAAGACATTAATCTACATGTCACCAGGTATCAATCTTCCTGCTGGTAGGGAGATAATTCTTTTGGAAAAATAATATTTATTTGTTTACTTCAGTTCTAGACCAGTCTGTTATCATCGATCTGACTTTCATTTTTAAAACCAGCTGTAATCAGTGGTTTTCTGGGATAATTAATTACTACTGCTTATTTAAAAGTCCCCTTTTCCCTTTCTGTGGCCATACTTGTTGCAAGAATTCAAATCTAGTAGGACAGCTGATTTTCAGCTTTAATCATTCTCTTTGTGTGCCCTCATCCCACTGAGGGCCAATGCAGGAAATTCCATCTCTTAGGAATCCCATTTCTGAAGTAAAGTGGATTTTAAAGTGAAATTAAATGTGGGTTCTGAATACAGTCCTAATCCTGCAGAATGTGAGGTAAATGTTTAACTCCCATTGAAAATGATGACTTAGAGTCTTGGCTTGAGCCAATCAAAATCTGTTTTCAGTGCAAATTCAAGCTGTGAGATGATTTCCTACTTTTATTCCCATAAGGGGAGTTTAGCATTGACTCAAGGAACACTTCCCTAATTCTGCTGAGATAAGAAAATGTCAGTTATCAATGGTTTATTGTTCACACTTTGGCCACTTGAAGTCTGAGGTCTTGGCACAGGAATATTTTGTTTGGTGTGTACAACACTTTCAAGAAAGTTTGTAAATGAACTGTTTATTTCTATTTTGAAAGGGAATTTAAAGTCTTCCTTGTCCTTCCTTCTCTCCTTCAGAAGGACTGAGAACTGGTAGAAGTTGCACAGTGTTCATCCTACTCCATTTTCTCTAACATACATTGAATTTATTTGTCTGAAGCAGCAGACTAAAGTCATTCAAGAAATGGGTACATTTAGACCCAGAACTACTATTTTATAGATTTTTTTCACTAAGATTTGTTGTTATGGTTGGATGGAGATTTATTTTTATAGAAAAAATGCCTGGCAGGGAAAAAAAAAATGATAGAGCTTTCTTTAAGTCACTTTTTAAGCTGTGAAAATCAGCAAACCAATGGAATTCTGAGCAAGAGAGAAAAGGAGATCCTGTGTCTGTGACAAGTGAGAATTGCTTGGTTTTCAGCCTAAGGAAAGTTATTTCCTCTTTAATGGATTGCCCAACCATCACAAGCTGCCAATGGCTAATTTAGGAAAAAGGAAACACAAGAGACCAAACGTGGCAAATATTGTGTAAAGAAATGTTTCTCGTTGTGAGGGATGCTTCAGGTGGAATTTTTACCTTGCTTTTAAAAACTGGAAGAGTCGTGGCTGCACAGCTCAGATATGAAACTGTGTCCTGTAATTTAGGAATTGTGAAGTTAATCTCCAACTTTTTCTTCCTCTCTCCAGCCACCAGAAAAAGAGGGCGGGCTGCCTCGCCAGGTGGGCAATAAGACAGAGTGTGGCCTCTTGGGGTTTGTGCTGGACCTGAAGCAGGATTACGAGCCCGTGAGGAGCCTCATCCCCGAGGAGAAGCTCTACAAAGTTTACACCTTCAACTCGGTCAGGAAATCCATGAGCACGGTGATCAAACTGCCCGACGGCAGCTTCCGCATGTACAGCAAAGGCGCCTCCGAGATCGTCCTCAAGAAGTAAGAGCTCTGATCCACGGCCTGTGCTGCCAAATGCACAGCACCCCCACACTCATGCCTGGGAATTCTGGTCTTGGGGGTTTGCTGCCTGCACCACAAACGTTTTGAAATTGTTTTAAGTGCTTCTGGGAAACGGGCGTGTTTTTCTTACCAAAGAATCGCGGGTCTGCTTTTGGTAATTTACGAATGGATTCCTTACGTTCAACTCATTTGGAAAAGAAGCACTTTTCAATTTCCCTGTGAGCTGTCAGCTCACTGGTTCTTGAGAAGATAACATGTGAAGGGCTCTTGGTGTCTGTGCAAAAATTTACAAATTCTCTCTGATATTTCGGTAGTGAATCTTCTAGAAATTTACAGCAAAAACTTAAAACCTGACATCAGAAAAGGGAAGCATGAGCTTATACAGGAAATATTTTGGCAGTCATGTAGATGCACACTTGATACCTTTTTGGGCTCCCTACAAACAGAGGGCAGACAGAATGAAGGCAATAAAAGCAGTTCTATTTATTGTTCTGTTTATTGAAGACCCTTCAGGTACATTTGGGGCAGACAAAGCCCCCCAGGGCTGCACCCAAAATGGACCCTGGGTCAGGGGTTTGCACACTTTGATAAGTTTGGTCCATTTGCACATTGGGGTTAATCTCCCAATTCCAGCTCCAGGTCATGAAGTCATTTACCCCGAGTTTGCTCCCCCCAATTCACTTTTGTTTCCATCTCTGGGCCCTGGGGCAGTGAGGGGTCCTTGATTGCCAGGCTGGAGAGGAATTGTTGTGTGTGAGCAGAATGGGAAAGCAGCAGCTGACACTGTGTGTGGAGTTTAGAGTTCTACACTAAAGACCTGCAGGATTGCAAATACACGAAAAACAGAAAAGCTGAAATGCTAAGGCATCACACTCAGTTTTTATTCTCTTTTCCTTGCCCAAACCAGGTGTTCCAGGATCCTCAATGCAGCTGGGGAACCTCGGATCTTCAGGCCCCGTGACAGGGACGAGATGGTGAAGAAAGTGATTGAGCCCATGGCCTGTGATGGGCTGAGAACCATCTGTGTGGCTTTCAGAGACTTCCCCAGCAGCCCCGAGCCCGACTGGGACAACGAGAACGACATCTTGTCTGACCTGACCTGCATCTGTGTTGTTGGCATTGAAGACCCAGTAAGGCCAGAGGTACATCCAATTTTTATCTTATATAAAACTGGATATAACCTGAATGGTAGGTTTCTTACAAGTTTTATCTCATTTTTTAAAATTATCTCTGTCAAATGAAGCTGAAAACTAGCTTTAGAAATGGATTTGACTTGATAAAATCCAAATAATTAAAGTGATAAAATTCAACTATCAGTCAGCTGATATTTAAATAAAGTAATATAGGGCTTTGGCACTGCAGGACCAACTTGATCAGCAGAGGTTTTGTAATGCTCCCACATGTTAAAGAATTTTCCTTTAAGCAGTGCAGTGATATGCAACTCTGAAAGTAGAGAAGACAAGTGCAGTGATTAAAATTGCTGTGATTATAATGGCAGTTTCCAGAGAAACTGGAGTTTTGCCATTTATTGTAATAGTTGTCATTTTACTTAACGTTGTACCTGGTGACTACTCAGGAAAACTTGTTTTTAATGTTGTATTGAACAAGGAAAGGCTGCAGTTGTCATGGATATCACATTTACATGGCTTGTACAAACATGTAAAACTTCAGCTCAACTCTCCTAAGTAAATCAGTAGTAGGTGTGCACATGGGAAGAACATCTCTGCTTCTACACTTGTAAATTATATTCCTACAGAAATAAAAAGGGTTGAGTTAGAGAATTCTGATCTCTCTATTTGGTGCTTGAAAATTAATGGAGAGTTACTAATTCCATGTTAGGGTTTAGAAATGGTGACAGTAACTTTGAAACTAACACCACACAACCCCAGGTACCAACAGCACAACTGTGCCTTGCCTTAGAATGGATTTTTTTTTTTTTTCCTCAATATGAAGGTTAAAATATAAAGTAAATCTTGCTTAGGTGACAACTGGATGATAAACTCCTTATCTGCACAAAGAGCAGATAAACAGCATCCACTTTATCTGCCATCAGATGGTCTCTTGCTGCTAATCCATCTGTCCCCATGCCTGACATTGCAATGCTGTCAAAATGTTGGAAAATGTCCTTTAGGAGGTCTGTCTGCAGTGTTCCTTTAATGCTCCAGCTCACATATATGGACATTTTGCAGAAAATATAGATATTTTCAGAAATATTTTGTTGGCGGCCACTGGAAGTGTGAATCAGTCCTCTCCTAAATTAAATCATCCACGTTAGAAAAAAGCTTTAAGTCAGGTTCCGTGTGGTGTGACAGACTGAGGGATTGGGGAGCAGTGGGATTTGCAGTTATTATGGAAAATAGCTGCAAACTCTCCTTTCATGTGATTATTAGGACGGTGTTTTACAAGAAAACTGCTCTTATCTTGCAGGGAATCATTTCTTGGGAGCTTGAGGTAAAAGTGAATAATTCTGCTAAAAATAGAGGGCAAATCTGACTTCTGTGTAAAGAATCAAAGAGATGAAGGCAGGAAAACATTTCTAAATAAACATTTGAATATTGTATTGAATTTCTTGTAGGTTAACACCAGAACATGCAGGAACATTTCTACTTTAGTGCAAGACACACAATAAAATATTTGTAATTTCAGAATTTTAGCAAATTTTGGAGATTTGGGACTTGTGGTTTTGATTTTTATCCACCTTGTCCCTTTTGACTGTTTTGGAGTAGCAATAACATCATGAAAATATTTAAACCAATGTTTAAATTATTACTACTCTGCACATTATAAGAAGCAGTACCTTAGGGAAAAGAAATGAACCAATAAACCCTGAGCCAGGAGAAAAACATAAAGTTCAGAAAACTCTCTGGGTTTGGAATATCTGACTTGGTTGGAGTATTACAATGTGCATATGTGAAATTCCCATTGCTGATGCAAATTGTTGAGCAGTTATAGGGAATATTTTGCCAAAATGGAATCTGTTCATTAAATCGACTCCCCACTGGAGTTTATGCATTTTCAAAGTGCTTTTTGTAGAGGGGAAAAAAAAAAGAATACAAAATCTGGAAATGTTACTAGAAGTGCTGTTTTATCCATGTTCTCAGTATTCACGAGTGTCAGGATTTATTCAGATGGAGGTGATAGACCAGGTAATTCCAATTAAAAAAATGTCCTCATCCTGGCAGCCTTTAGCTTCCCTTCAGCTGCATTTCTGTGTTTCCTGGGGAAAGCTCAGGATTTTCCTTTTCCCTCAGGTGATGTTGGGCTGCCCTAAGGCTGCTGGGCAGGGAGCTCCTGTGCAGCCAAGGAGTGATTGCATGGATGGGAATTCCAGCTGTTTTGGAGGAGTCCTTCCTCCCTCCTGCTTCCAGGGATATTCTTGGGATACTCAGGGAGATTTCTGGCACTCACCTCTTCCCCACACACTAAAAAGAACAATTTGAATGAGTTATTTAACACTGACGTCCAACTGATGTTGGACATGCCAGTTTTCTCTGGAATGCCCACCACCCATGGCTTTTCCATATTCCCAGGTTAATTCAGACACCAGCTTAGTCATCAGCAGCTGCTGGATTTAGCAGGCACTGAACTACTTGCTTGATATTTATATTTTGTGGGCGTGTTTTTTATTTTTCTTTGATAAATACACAGGAAGAGAGCAAGCAGAGTGATGCCCTTCTCCTGCAGAGATTCTCTGTTGATCCTGACACTCTTTCTGGCTTGATTTTAATGAGCCTGAACTGGCTCACACTGATTTGCCAAAAAACGCCTCCAGTCTGTTATTTCTGAGAGACAAATGTAAATCCCTTCCAAATATCTCCTATTTATTTGTCACCTGATTGGGAAAGATATTCCTGCATTGGATTCCTTTGTTCATGCGTGCTTGCATTGGAAGTTTTGCTTTGCAGAGGGAAAATGAACCAAAAAACTGTGAAATGTGTACGTAAGCTCTGCAAAACTGATGGAAAATATCTGCTTCCTCTGCCCACTCAGTCTGCCAACACTCTCTCTCCCTTACAGCAATCAAAAAAATATGAACAATATTTTAACTGTAATTACTGTACACACTATTAAATCAGATACCACCCACCAGCTGTCCAGAAAATGACAGGAGAGGAAAACAGAATGATTTCTCCAGTTAGATGTGAGTTTGAGACGTGTTTGCAACTGGGGCTGTCCTCCCCTGACCTTGTTTAATAGGACTGACACTTCATGGGAATAACCCTTTTTTGCTGCTTGTACTGTAATTTATTTTTCTCCTTCATGGTCAATCCACTGGGCTGGTTTTGCAGATTTCCATCTATATCTGTCCTGTCCTGTGCACGAGGGTCACCACAGCTCCAGTGGGTACCAAAAGCATTTCCAATTGACAAATGGGATTTAGGCAGGATTATGAATGTGGAAACTGGGGAGATCAGGGGCCATTTGCTTAAGGAACAGATTTAACCTGATCATACATTCCCCTACAGAAACCTATTTCACATCACTAAAAGGCTTTAGGTCTAAATGATTTTTCCAGGGTGTACAATTTGTGGGGAAAATATTTCCAGTCAGAGGTGAAGAAATGGGAAGACAAAGCTCTGTCCCTGAATTCTGCCCTTGATTTTGTGCTCTGTGTGACAGAGTCCTGCAAACAGCATGTCCTGTGGTCACCCTCTGAGGGTGGAAGGATTTTCCTGGGAATCCTGGAAAAAGTGCTGCTCTGGTCCTCACTGAGGCATTGGTTTAGGGAGGCATTTTGGAAAAAAGGAGCTCCACAAACTGCCTTTAATGAATATTCACAAACATGGTGTGAAATCACTCCAGATTGGGGGAACCATGATCTGTGATGTGGTGTAGGGGTTTAGGGTTTTCAGTGCACACCCAGAGCCTTCCTGGCCCCAGGAAATCCCTCAAAGCCCAATATTTGTCACACTGGCTCAGGGCAAATAATTAATGCCCTCAGCAGTGTCCCCTGCTTGTGGCTACAGAGGAAATTAAAGTATCTAAAAATGCATAAAATTAGCAGTGTAATGTTGGAGATGGTGTCTCCTTTTCTCAGCATTTTCTGCACCATTGGATGAGATGAACCCCCTCAAACTGGCACTGAGTCTCACAACACATTTATATCTGTGCTGGAGGTTGTGATCAGCCAGGTGCACTGAATACAGACACTAATATCCATTTTGATACCTTTTCTTAAATAGTTGTGAGTTTTTAAATTATATTTTAATAATTGTGCATTGTCATCTTCTGAGTAGGGCACTTCACTTCCCTGTAGCTCTGTGAAGGGCTTCAGCCTTCATGATGACTCCTGGGGTGCTCTAGACTCTTGTAGGTAAATAGAGAATTTAGGGAAGTGGGAGAACAACATCCAGGCTGTTCTGGACATGTTGAACACCTTCCTTATTCTCCCACTTTAAATAATATTGCTATTTTTCTCTTGAAGAAAAAATGCTTTCATAAGAATAATGCAAAATGATGCAAAGATGTAATGAGACTGAATTAATTAGTGATATTTACTTAGAAATTATCATTAATTAGGACGCAATTTAAGGGAACAGAATTTTATCCCCCATCTGAAATTGAGCTACAGACATGAAACCTTTCTGCAGCCTTCATTTACAGAAATACCTGCATTAAAACAGCTTTATTTAATTCTTAGGAATCAATCTTTTCTTTCAATCCTGAAATCTTTCCTGTTTTGTATTTTTCTTTTAATAAGATGTGTATGATGCCAAGTGAGAATGGAGCCCCTACATGAATCTCACAGCCCCTGTTGTACCCTGAATCCTCTCTCCCTGATACATTTCCTGTGCAGCAGAAGTTTATCTCATGCAGAAAAAGGCATGAGTAAAATCAGGTTTCATTTTTATGGTTTTCAAACACTTAAAATACTAATTTTAAGCTCCTGTGTTTAGGAATTCCACCTGTTGATAAAAATTAATTAAGTAGTGCTAAATCACAATAACTTCTAAAATTTTGTTGGAAGGAAAGTTTGGATCTGAAGTAAAATAATTTTTTGTACAAAATGTTTGTATTCTCCATATTTACACGAGTTGAGTAGTTATGTTCAAGTTTACTAAAGGTCAAAAAAGCTGCAGAGCACTCATTTTTATTCAAGCCAGGAGAAAAGTTTTTGGAACTAAAAGATATTCAAAAAAGAAATTTTTGATCTAAAAGATATTTTTTGTGCTTCTTGATCCAAGATTCGCCTTGCCTGTGGAGTGACCCCAACTCCACAGCAGTCAAGTAATGATAAAACACATCTGATTCCTCTTTCTGCTTCAGACACTTCTTGGCCTGAAACTTTCCTGGATAGGAACACCTGCCTTGTGTTTTACCTCTGATCCAGGAGAATAAAGTGGGGATTTATTGGAGCCTTCCATAGGCACAGCTTGGGCAGGCAGAGCCTCCCAGAGGCTGCACCCAGGGGG